TATTGTTTATATTTCTCCAAAATCAGTAAAAAAATGTATCGCCAAACCATCATTTATAGTTCTCCAAAGATCGATGTCAAACACATGAATATACAATAATGATCGACACTTGTCTGATGGCATGCAGTAAACATTTGCTACTAGTTGCATTAATATGACTAGAATCATTTTTTATCCATGTTATATTTGTCCAGTCAAAGTAAATCACAAAAGACTCCTTAAATTACATAATTTAGAACAAAACTTTTCTAGAATGAAGAACCATATTGTACTTCAATAGAAGAGCAGATAAAATTGTCTTATGTTGAGAAAGAAAAAGTGATTGATTCAGGGTATACACTCAATAATCAATGACAGCAGATTTCTTTTTTTTTATTGAAAATAAAAAAAGATGAAAGGATAAGGGAGTTCAGGAAACATACCTGCAACTGTGTAGATTTTAGTTCGAATGTCTTACATAGAATGCCTTACATAGGGCGATCCCGTGGTCGCTTTCCCGGCTAACTCTAATCGCGAGTGTTTGGCTGAGTTTCGATCGGGGGTGAAGCCTAAACAAGAAAGGCGACGAAGGTCTCGGGCACGGGTAGGAGAGCCGACGGGAGAGGCGAAGCAGGTGAGTGGTTCAGTGCAGAGGGGAGTTCGCAAGAGGGGAGGCGAAGCAGGTGAGGAAGAAGATCGCGATTCACGAAGTTGTAGAGGCGAGAGTTTGGTCGCGTGGGGCGAGCGGGATTTGTAGAGCGGAGCTTCTTCAGCGTGAGGAAGAGGGAGGCGATCGAGTCTCGATTAGTCTCGATTGCGAAAGTGTAGACGAGCCGAGCGGCTGGTAATTGAAAGGGAGTAGCGGGAGAGGCGCGTCTTCGGTCTAGTAGAGGAGCAGGGAGCAGGTTTCGGAACAATGGGGAGAAGTCGAGCGCTCTTGTTGAGCGGGATCGAACGCAAGGAAACCAAGCAGGAAACGTCCTAGCCGAGCGGGAGGAGGGAGTCAGGATTGAGCGTGAGGAGGAAGAGGAAGTCGAATCATGTCTCTCCCCGAGGAAGAAGCCGGCGTTTCTATAGGACCGGGCCGAATTAATCAAAGGAGTCGTTACCTTAGTGGGGAATTAAAAGACTTCCATTCAGGTAGCTGTGTTCAAATGGAAAGTTTTAACTCTCAATTAAGATAAAATTAAATAACGAATTTGAAATTCAAAAATTTAAAATTCAAAATCGTTTAACCCTTGTTCAGCCTGAGTCCAGCCCGAATCAAATCTGAGTTGAACCTGGGTTGAGTCCGTGCCCGCGCCCCGCTAATTAAAAAAAAAAACGTGCATCAATATTCATGTCATTTGTTTGTGTGTGTAACCCTAACAATATGAGTGTCCTTCCTGGCTAAAATTGACGTCCCGGACGCATATGTGCAATCCGTTTCGTCATCCGGGATCATCCGGGCGAGTTTGCCGACGGTCGGGCCAAAAATGAGTCAAATTTGTGCATGGTGTAGCGAGTGCGTGAATTGCAGCATTCGCGAGTAATCGAGCCACAAAGGGTTCACCTAAGAATGTTTGATCCTATAGGAACTCATTTTCAAGCTCTCTACATGTTGTTCCTTAGCCCTTGCAACTTTAGCCCTTGCAACTAGAAGCAACTAGAAGTTGAGTTCTTGGAACCACTCATGCGAGTTCTTCAAAAAAATGAGTCAAGAATTGACTTGAAGTTCTACGGAAGGTGGGCTCCATTGCTAGTCCGTTAGAATAGTCAATAAGAACTCCTGAAGCTAGATCCTAGGTTCTAAGAATAGGAAACTAAGACCTCACTAAAAATGAGGTCAACAATAGTTGGAGCACACCCTAAGATATAGCCCTCAAAGGGAGAAACGGACGTCGGCGATTGTCTTGTTAGAATTCTAATCCACAACTTAATTCCAAACCCTCAAAGAGAGATCTACTTTTTCCACCATTTGAATATATGGTCTTGTTGTTCCAGAATCAAGAAAAGTTTCCTTACAATCTTTTGCCATCTTATTCTGTTTCTTATAGTTGTGCTGCTGTTCAGAATTTCTAAATGATCGTTATGAACTTCAAAATTGATTTTGTGGAAACGTACAGACGCAACACACAATTCTTATGTATTTTGATATCTCACATCTAAACTTTCATACATACGTAATATTTTGTTGCTTTAAACCTATGCATAAAAAGGTGGATTTCACTTTCAGAAAATGATAATAGTACTATTTTTAATATGATATTAAAAATTTGAATGCTATGTGTGTAACTATGAAAGTCTAGGTGTGAGATGTAAATACAGAAGAGTTGTAAGCTATGTATGTAAATGCCCCTTAATTTTGTTTGTTTTGTTCAATTTTGGAGGTAAGAGTATTGATAAAAAATCCTATGGTATCTAAATTTTTTTTTGTTTGCGCATCGAACTGCAGGGTGTAATGAGCCAATTGTATGATGTGATGTATGAATTCAACTTCTCACTTCCTCCTGATTATGCTCTGGTAATAAGAGCACTGGGTTCTTTGGAAGGTACCGCCAAAGCATTGGATCCGGATTTCAAAGTTATTGAGAGTGCATATCCTTTTGTTATCGGAAGGCTGCTTACAGACCCCGATCCTGAAATGAGAAAAATATTAAGGGAGCTTCTTATTCGTAATGATGGCTCAATTAGATGGAACCGGCTTGAGCGGTTGGTATGTCATTTCTTTAATTGTTGATTATTGAAAATTTTCTTGCTTTGTGCGTGCCTCATGCTTCTATTTAACCTGGTCATTACTTTTTATTGGCCAATTTGTATATGGTTCCATCAGTTTTGGCTATTTGCAACTAGGTCATCTTAACTTTCCATCCACTAACAAAAAATAAATAAAATAAAATAGAAAAGAAAAGGAAAAAAAAAAACTTTTCATTGAACAACTAGGTTTTCTTAGTTTGATTTGTTCTAATATCAACTTACTGTGTATGTGATGAAAATCCCTGATTTCCCGTGACGTTTCTTCCTGTCACTTGCATGCTAGGAATGAAAAGTGTCACTGATCTTGTTTTTTAGTTCATTTTTCTGGTGGGCATAAAGGCTTTGTGGGAACTGAAGCTTTTGGAAGTTAGGGCTGGGGCAGTTTATTCAGTTCACTGAACTAAGTTCCTTTTATGAAAGTATTTGGATCTGCAGTTGGAAAATGATAGAACTGTGCGGAAACATCCAAAAATTAATGACCTGTTTGAGGTGTTATTCAGAATGAGAACATGCAAGAGGAGATGTATGCAAAGTACTCTTGGAAGATTTACCTACATACCATTCAATTTCTATGTATTTACATATCTAAACCTAAATTCAATTTTTCATACAGACCACCTTAAAAAATAAATACAAAAAAACAAAAAAATAGAAAAATAAAAACATACCAACCGACCTTTGCATGAAAATGTGTATTTGACATTTTAAAAGTTAAAATGGTGATATTTTTTATGTGATATAAAAGATTGTGTGGTACAAAGGTAAAAAAGAAATGTTTAGGTTTTAGATATGTCAATACATGGGAATTGGCTGGTATGCACTTAAATGCCCCTAAGCACCCGTTACCCTTTTCTATAGGGTGGTCAACTCATGCAGTGTGCCAGAATTCTGAACGGATTTCTTGAAGTTGGGAGCTGCAAGTCTCTAGTAGCTCACAATATGTGAAAATTTACTTCAAAACTTTATGGAGTGTGGTAACGGTGCAAAAGGAGAAGCTTTGATTAGCTAGTAGCTTCAGATTAAAGTTAGCTAAGCATCAACCAATATTTGATATAAGTCTGAAGCAGCTTGCTTTTTTTGGTTTGCCTCCTTAGTTGTAGTTAGAGATGTAAATAAAATGATTGACTCTGAGTATTTCAGGTTCTTGTCTCTTTTTCTGGACCCCATTCACTTTTAGTTTTTCATCTATGGATTGTTTACAAATCTCTATTGAGTTGCTAGCAGTCTCTTATCTTGCAAAATAACCTTAATTCTATCTACTTCCACTATTCCTTAATTTCCTGCACCAGATACTCAGGTGTTTAAATCATTGTCTTCCTTACATTATGCTTTCCATTTTCTGGCTGATTCTGTTATTCCGTGATTTGTTCTTTTGCCATGAGCCTAGAGGCAAATGCATAAAAGTAAATATTATTACATACAAGCATATATTCTTTATATATTTCTTGTGCACGTTTTCCGGGGATATTATGTAACTGATGTGATAATTGTTAGTTTCATAACGATATCTATGATATGAAATCAAGCCAAAGTCCTAAAACATATGTTTAACAACATATTTATATTAAAGAAGCCAAAATAAACCTAATATTATCCTAAATAAACTAAATAAGGACCTGAGAAACCTTTGTCTATTCTTCTATTTGCGGTGGAGCTCGACTCCCAAGGGGACCTGCTAGCGTTTGGGGCCTTGATTTCTTGAACCAATCTAGTTGGGACTCGTTCCCTCATCTCAATTCTGTTTAGGCTGAACACAAAAGATGCTTGCATCATTCTCCCCAAGTAGGGAAGGATCCATCATCATCATCAGGTGCATCTAGATCCCTGTAGTATGGCGATTAATCAGCAACATTGTAACAAAAATATTGTTTCCTCAAGGTAGATTGATCTTCCATGCATTATCATTGATCTTCCTAAAATCTCTGAATGTAGCAACAGTCTTTGTTTTGAGCTTCTCAAATGAAACTGCAGAAAATCTCTTCAATTTAATTCACAACAAGTCAACTTTCTTGGAGACCATAACCTTCCTGAACTTATTATCCTACTTTTAGTAGTTGATATTTTGCCTTATATTTTTCTCTTTTGCTTGCGCATGTTAATTCCGAGTCTTTCTGACTCTAGTCTCTACATCAGTACTTAATTGAAAATATAGGTACTAACACCAAAGTTGCGAGAGGATTTTGCTCAAATTTAACTTGATGGAGAATCAAGTCTTATTGCCTTATTTTTTACTCACAAAGCACTTGAGGAACCTTCATCTATCAATCTATGTGCAAGTTAGCTTTTGAGCTTAACTGAAGTTTCATACCAAGCTTATTCCATAAGGTTCTTAAAACATGACTCAAAATTTCACATCTTTATCCAAATTGATGGTTTGACATACCATGAAGACGAATTATCTCTTAGAAGTAGAGATTAACAATGTGTGAAGATCCATAATCTTGTGACAAGGTATAAAACGTGTCATAATGGAGAACTGGTTTATTACTGTCATAACAGAAATATTGCTTCGTTGTGTCTGACACAACCCCACAAAAGTCCATATTCACTTCCCCCTAAGGTAGCTCTGGAATATGATGGGGAGTATAAAGACATGTATTTTGTCCAAGAGTCTTTAGTTAGTTGACACTCCTTGCATTGTTTGATATGTCTTTCAATAGCCTTTGTCAGCTTTGGCTAAAAAAAAATTTGTTCTCTAGGAAAAGAGTTTTATCCCTTTCAAAATATCTGATCATTCCTCTATTTTGACATTTTTATATAATAGTATTCTTGATTAAACTCATAGCAATTCTCAACCAATTCTAAAAGAATGAATACCCATCGGATCTATGATACTATTGGTAGGGTCTCTCTTAACTACAATTCCAAATCTCATGAAAGTCCTCATCAATGGTACTCAGATCATTTAACAAATCAAGTCCAACTACCTTTGACTACGTAGTGGTTCGATAAGTGACAACAACTCAAGGCATCAGCAACCCTAACCGTCTCCAACTAATACCATAATGAGATGAGTGAGATGAAATCCATGAATCAACATACACGTATAAACATTCTATATAGATCATTTCATCTGCATTTTTACATCAGTCAATATAATTATATAATAATCAATATCTATTATAAAAAATTTAGACATGCAAAGAGTATATTCAGTACGAAGAAATATTCAATAAAACATGTAAATCATTAATATTTAATAATAATGAATCCAAAAAATAGTAATATTACATAACGGGGAAATATGAGTATTCACATCAATTCTAGACGAATTGATTTTCAATCTTTTTATTCTTGTTTCATTTTCTTTAATTTGATACATGAAGAAAGTATTCATCATAATTAATTTTATATTTAGCTCATACTTTTATTTCTAAACTATCATTAACTTTTTATCATCCAATTTAATACAGTACACTAACCCTAACATTCACATTTTTATTACTTTGTACATAGAGTTACAACACACACAAACTAAAAATAACATCACTAACACAAAATGTCATAACAAACACCTCAAGAGTGCTTCACAAGGGTGGTAGAGGTTTCTAGGTGGATCGAGATGACTAGCGGGGGTGGCGGCAACGAAGGCAAGGTGAGAAAACTGTAGGAACAACTAGAGGATTGGGTGTCCTATGCAGCTGCAACAATCAATTGGGGCAGAAATGCAGGACAACAATGGTTAGTTGTTCTGGGGCGGCAGCAATAAGGATGGGTGGGTTGGCAGCAATGTAGCAAAGATGTGGGTGGTTTGGTGTAGCAGGAAGGTGCAAGACGGCAAGGTAGACTGCTGGAAATAGGGACAAGGAAGATATAATCTCCACCGGGGAGAGGGATACAGCGAGAGAACCATCCTAACCTTCAGATACAACCCTTGAGGAGTAAGAAGACTTCACACAGGAAATCTGAAGGAATACTACACCAAATGCTAACCCTAAACTCAGAAACAAGCATATAGATAGACACCAAACAAGAAAGAATAGAGAAGGGAAGAGGAGGAGGAGGGTTGGCGGCATTGCCACCCTTGCTAAAATGCCGCTCGATTGAGTTGTACGCAAAAAAGGCAGAGAGACAGGCATGGGAGGTCGCTCTCCCTGTCAGGGATCTTGCGTGAGCCGCTAGGCCCGATATTCCCCTGGCTCGGTCTTCAATAGACCGGTCGGGGTCAGTGCGGGAAATCCCACTCTCACATCCACGTGGGGAGCTCCACGTTAGTCTTTTGGGATTAGAGGAGCTTTTTGTTCATTTGTCGAAGCTTCATGTTCCTCGTGACATGGCATCAAGTCTCCTGATAGGTCGATCATGTCGGCGTTGTCATTCCACAAGACATTCTGGTAGAATAGGTATTTGGCCTCTTTTGGTATGTCATGAGCGGGACCCGCATATAGAAGTGTGTTCCCACAATGCAACTCTCGAGCACTTATATTTTAAAAAAAAAAATTCACTTCTCATGCATAACATGCAGTTGTTGAGTAACAAGTATATGAGGAGAACTCAATTATGGGATGAAATATGTGGCAGATTGTGTTACTCTCACTAGTGATCACTTATGAGAGGCATCTTCTTCAGTGAAAGGACTTGGATCCCATTGAAGAATTTTGAACCCCCTCAAGCTCCTATGGCACATTTCAAAGTTGAGGTTCATTCCTCCTTTCTGGACATTTGTTGATGGGTACTTTGCTAAATTGAATCTAACATCTGAAATACTCATCGTAATATTCCAAGCATGGCAAAAAAAAGGGTCTATACGTCTGAAAATTTCACAATGCTCTGATCTGTGGTGGCCCGACATCTGTGGTCGCTCCTCAAACTCATTCCCTTTTTAGACATCCAAGTTAGGCCGGCTGATTTTTCTCTTAAAATCTGTAAATTGTTGGTTTGAGACACCATAATCTCATATTGTTGAACTGCACATTACCTCAGAGTCACTACCTTCTAGAGAAGTGACTGCTATCTTTG